ATTTTCATGTAGCGTCTACAAAAAAGCCAAAAACTGAGTATTTCATAAGCCAAGTAGTCCAAAATGAATATGCTGGTATTTGACCCTCAGACTATTAGCATTCTAATTTATGACTTTTTTAGACACAAATTCTGGTCTAGAACAAGCTATAAATTAGAAATTTTTAGACTTTTTGTGCTGATCGCGTAAAATGATTTGAAACCGGTTTCTTAACCCAAGAACACACAAACGTCACGTGGACCAGTGTAACAACTTTGGGACGAAGTAAGCCATCATTTCCAAAACTTGGGCACTTTTCCCTGTTAGACTGAGCTAATCATGACTAACGCGTTGATTGGCTTACCGCAAAAATGCATGACTACGATAGCCGTTTTGGACATGCATGATATTTTGGTCGTATCGTTTGAGCTTACAGCAACGGTCAGTTCAATATTGTATTTGGTTTTTTCGAAGTTATTTGAAGTCCGGCAGTGAGTTTTACTAACCAAACAAGTGCTGATAGGTCCTGAATAAAGCAGCAACAGCAACAGCAGCAACAACGGCGACCATCTTCACATATGGGCACCATAAATAACTACAACCTCTATCCAGTCAGTTTTACCCAACAATTTCTTATGTGAATTCCTTAAGCGGATCTTCATTTGTTAGCTTTAACTTTACGCTAATTACTTTTCAGCAGAATGTTTTTGTACATAGCCTCCTTAATTTGAAAAGAGTTCTAGCTTCAATCGTTTTTCACTTGTGCGATGGTGCGCATTCAACGCATCTCCCAAAAAAAATTAGTCCTCGTTTGTGTCGGATTTTTCAGGTCTAAGGTTTAAATTTCACACTTAGAGTACTAGTTATTTATTGCCTCTTTTCCAACAGGTTAATGAAAGCAACTGATTGCAGAAGGATGCCGTGGATACTGCTGCATCGAAAGCTAAAGGAGCTGCAAGCTCAGCCAGTAAGTTTTATGCTAATTTCTAGTATTATTTTTGTTCCATACAGATTTCTAGTATTATGTAAGTTTCATTTTTACCTCAGAAAAGGTGGCCTTGAAGAGATTCCCGCTCCTTCTCTGATCGGGCATAGTTGAGGTCGCGGGGTTGACTTGCTGTTAGAGCGAAGCTTTGCAAGTTCCTGCTTTAAGTGGTATATTGGATTTCTCTCTCAGTTTGTTTATGGCACTTAAACGGTGCGAGTGAATAAAACAGTTGCTAGAAGCTGATGAAGACAGCTCCCTCCTTCCCTCTCCCGTTCCATCATGCACCATAATTCACTCTCTGCCAGAGCGGAGCTAAAGCCCTCTCCTTCCCCCTCTTCTTCCCTTTACCAGAGCCGGAACTACTTTATGTGAAGCAGCCCGAATGACAGCACACTGCCGATAACTTAGGACATGGGGACGAAGAGTTTTTTGAACCTTTTCTCTTTTAAGTGCAAATTTAAAGCTGACGTCATGCCTATAGCACAGGAAGCATATCTGATTTTTGGTGTCTAAATCGCCTTAAAATAGGAAAACTTTGAACTGCTTGGACGTCTTTTTTATCCAATGAGACAATTACTAGCACTCGTTACTGGGGTTCACAAGTGAGCTCAGAATTTTGCTGTAGCGATCACGAGGAAAACTCCAGACATTCAACTAACTCAATACGCTTTTCTGGGAATTAGATTATTAATTTAGACTGTTAATTAGGTTATATCAAATTTACACCAATTACCACAATCGTCGTACTGACGAGGTCCAATTGTGCTAATGTTAAGAAATGTATACGACTTAATAGATCGAAACATTTCTTACCATTATAATAGTTTTCTTCTGCTAATTTCATAATATTATTTTCTCTTGTCTGCTCCTCCCAACTTTAAAATATTTTCCCATTATTGTAGAGCTTGTAGGCTGAGTAATTCGGATAGGCCAGTTTGCCTCCTCCGTTAGCCGTTGTCCATCGTTTTAGTGCTTGTAAGTGAATGAGTATCAAGGAAACATATTTGCAGTGCACTCAGCAAAAAATGTCGTGCATGGTGCAGAAGAAATGCTCGAAAAAGCGCGCAAACGATCCGGAGAATTTATCCATGACGAAGCTCGAGCAATCAAGCACAAACTCTCGGACGCCGCTGCCAGCATAAAAAACAAGGCATCCGGCTTCACGGATCCTGCCGATCCGACCACACGTACTATTCGAGAGATAAAGAAGAAGTCTCGAGAGCACCCTGGCCACAGTGATGAAATGGGTAACAATTTTTGTTTCATAAACAGCTAGCGCATTTAGTATGAAAATGAGATAACTGAGAAAGCATCAATCGTAATTGTAAGCCGGACACAACCACATTGGACAAGTTTCTTAGGAGCAAGGAGAAAGCTGGGAAAAGCCGAAGGGACCAGGAGGGGAAGGAGGAAGAAAGATACGTATTTCTTATAACACAAGCAAACTCCTCAAGCAGAAGTGATGCAGCTGAGATTAAATTCCTTAAGTAAATACAGCAGTTAATGGTGATACATGAGAGATAAAAGAACACAGTTCGATTAAATTCCAAGAGGGATTGCTTTTATACACAATTCGATTAAATTCCAAGAGAGACTGGCTAGACAAGACATTCCTGGAAATAGCAAACCTCAGGCCGAAGGGCTTCGCAAAGTTACCCTGAGCATAGGCTAAATCTTAAAAATTTAAAAATTTCTATTTGATGCCGGCCAAGTGCATAGATCAGGGATTCGGGCCAATGAAGTGCTCGCGATGCACTAGTCCCTATGCACTGAGCCAACTGGAAGCATGGCCAGGAGCCTGACATCTTTTTATGCGTTTTTTGCAGCAGTGCAATGCGAAAAACGCATATTGACGAGAGGTTGTCTGTG